AAGGCTCAAGCAGTATGTGGATCGAGAACTCCCAGAAGTGCAAGCTGGATTTAGAAGAGGCAGAGGAACCAGAGACCAAATTGCAAACATGCGCTGGATTATGGAGAAAGCTAGAGAGTTCCAGAAAGACATCTACTTCTGCTTCATCGACTATGCAAAAGCCTTTGACTGTGTCGACCACAGCAAACTATGGCAAGTTCTTAAAGAAATGGGAGTGCCTGATCACCTCATCTGTCTCCTGAGAAATCTCTATGTGGGACAAGAAGCTACAGTTAGAACTGGATATGGAACAACTGATTGGTTCAAAATTGGGAAAGGAGTACGACAAGGCTGTATTTTGTCTCCCTGCTTATTTAATTTATATGCAGAATACATCATGCGAAAGGCTGGGCTGGATGAATCCCAAGCTGGAATTAAGATTGCCGGAAGAAATATCAACAACCTCAGATATGCAGATGACACAACCTTGATGGCAGAAAGTGAGGAGGAATTAAAGAACCTTTTAATGAGGGTGAAAGAGGAGAGCGCAAAATATGGTCTGAAGCTCAATATCAAAAAAACGAAGATCATGGCCACTGGTCCCATCACCTCCTGGCAAATAGAAGGGGAAGAAATGGAGGCAGTGAGAGATTTTACTTTCTTGGGCTCCATGATCACTGCAGATGGTGACAGCAGCCACGAAATTAAAAGACGCCTGCTTCTTGGGAGAAGGGCAATGACAGGCCTAGACAGCATCTTGAGAAGTAGAGATGTCACCTTGCCAACAAAGGTCCGTATAGTTAAAGCCATGGTCTTCCCAGTAGTGATGTATGGAAGTGAGAGCTGGACCATAAAGAAGGCTGATCACCAAAGAATTGATGCTTTTGAATTATGGTGCTGGAGAAGACTCTTGAGAGTCCCATGGACTGCAAGAAGATCAAATGCATCCATTCTTAAGGAAATCAGACCTGAGTGCTCACTGGAAGGACAGATCGTGAAGCTGAGGCTCCAGTACTTTGGCCACCTCATGAGAAGAGAAGACTCCCTGGAGAAGACACTGATGCTGGGAAAGATGGAGGGCACAAGGAGAAGGGGGTGACAGAGGACGAGATGGTTGGATAGTGTTTTCGAGGTTACCAGCATGAGTTTGACCAAACTGCGGAAGGTAGTGGAGGACAGAGGTGCCTGGCGTGCTCTGGTCCATGGGGTCACGAAGAGTCGGACACGACTAAACGACTAAACAACAACAACAACAACTCCCCTGGGATGCTTGCCTGGCGCCTTTCCTTTTATGCTCTACTTGTGGACTTTCTGGAAGAATCTGTTTGGCCACTATGAGAAGCAGGATGCTGAATTACTGATACAGCAGGAACCTTCCTATCTCACATGCCCATCTAGAATACTATGCTACAGGGATAGTAGCATAGTAACAGTCATTGTGCAAGGGATTATGGAGAATGCATGAATAACTTTAAGCCCTTTGTATTAATATAGCATTCATCTAGCGGTAGTATATCTAATCCCAACGATCCTCCAACTAGAACAAAAGGAAAGGAAAATCCTGAAGAACCTCCGGACACTGGAACAGGCTGGACTGGTTTCATCCAAAAATAAGTACCAAGAAATAATGAAATAGCAAAGGTACTTTGAAAATTGTTAAATTCTCCAACTATGTTTGCCCACTGATGCAAAAAAAACCCCCAAAAAACCCAAACCCAATTCAACTGCACTGCAGTACACACACACACAATTTTAATATTTCTGAGACTTCCATCCTTAAAGTACAGTGGTACCTCGGGTTAAGAACTTAATTTGTTCTGGAGGTTGGTTCTTAGTCTGAAGCTGTTCTTAACCTGAGGTACTATTTCTGGGTTAGCGGAGTCTGTAACCTGAAGCATCTGTAACCAGAGGTACCACTGTATTCCATTTTATACAGAATGGATATTGCCATGAATAAAAATGCTTGGGCTTTTGTATTTGTATTAAACTGTTAGATAATGTCCAATGTTGTACAAGCAGATTTTTCCTCCTCCTGCCATCTAAGGGACTTCAGGTAGCCTTATATGTATGTTTTTCCTGCCACCCCCCTGCTATTTTATCCTCACGTTAACCCTGTAAGGTACCTTAGGCTCAAAGTTTACTGGCCCAAGGCCACTCAGCAGACTTTTATGGCTAGGTGAAGAGGAGAACCTGGGTTTCTGTCATCCAAATCTTCCTATCTAGCCATTGCAGCCTGTTTCTTGAGAAAAGCTTTGATGTATATATTTTCTAAATAGGTCAGTAATTATTGCAAATAGCATTTCAAAATACATTTTGACCCACAACATTTTCCTGTTATAGAATGGCAGCTCTTATATTTTGTTGAATTTTGTAGGGATTTCTTCCAAATACACATTTAAATCACAGCTATAAGATCAATTGGAGACAAAACATAAAGGATCTACAGCACACTTACCTGCAAATGCTTGGTTTAGCATAGTTAAAATCCCCTGTTGATGCTTTTTCTAATGTTTCAGGGAAACATTTTGATGGTCTTTGTACGTGAAATACGGTAGTTTGAACTTGAGTTCATTTGGTTACATCACATAAACATGTGAAAATGGGGAATGCATGGGAATATTTGTGTTTAAAATCTTTCACATTCTTTTTGTAGAGCTCGCCTTCGAAATCTTCAGAGATCACTGTAAGAAACTAATATACAATGTGGATTGCTTGTGATATGTTTTTGAAATGTTGTGCAAGATGAAAACAGTTTACAGTGGGAGGAAAATATAAATATAGAAGACCAATCATCACAGGGAGGTTTGAAGGAAATGGGGAGCCAATTTTGTCTATAAAGCTGAGTAAAAGCACTTTTAAAATGAGGTGAACATGTTAACTCCCCCACCTCACACTGTTTTGGTGGTTCTTCTTAACCTCCAGAGCAGATTGGGGGTCCCAGAGGAGAGAAAATGGGGTGTTCCTTGCACTGGCTTCTGCTAGTGGGTCTGGATAGTTGAATCCAAACCAACTAAAATCAAAACTGACCCATTCTGATCAAGATATGTACTGGACATCACACCTCAGAAAATTACTGAATGCTTGAATAATCCAACAAAAAATCCATCCATGGAAGTCTTTTGATACTGTTTTTCCATTTTTTTTTTTTTAAAAAACAACCCTCAAACAATGAATCTGTTTTGACAGTGCTAAGCTATTAGAACAGGATGCCTGGAGGGGAATATGGTCACCTCACAATCAAGAAGGCTGTACAACTCAGAGCTCCTGCGCTCAGGTACATAATTTCTCTTCAAAACAACTCATTAACTGGGAATATTTGAAAGCTTTTACCCCCACTCGGAAGGGGAATGTCAGCAGATATGCTGAGATCAAAACAAGGTAGTATAACAAACTTTCTCAAGCCGCCGCAACATTGGGGAGAAGCCAGGGCAATGAGCCAGCACAGAGATAAGATGGCATCTAGTCCAATTAAGACTGCAGAAGGTACAGCGGAAATAGATACTATGCAGTGCTCAATGTATTCTCATTAAAGAAAGGATAACAGAAACATGGAGTGAATCCAATGTCAGAAAAATTAGTTGGAACCATATTTGGTATTTCAGTCCTGTCCTTGTAATCAATCAAATGGTAAATGAAAAATTTAAGACATCATGGGTGGGGGGAAATAAAGAAAAATAATATACAAAGGTAAAGGTAAAGGGACCCCTGACCGTTAGGTCCAGTCGTGACTGACTCTGGGGTTGCGACGCTCATCTCGCTCTATAGGTCGAGGGAGCCGGTGTTTGTCTGCAGACAGCTTCCGGGTCATGTGGCCAGCATGACTAAGCCGCTTCTGACGAACCAGAGCAGCGCATGGAAACGCCATTTACCTTCCCGCCAGAGTGGTACCTATTTATGTACTTGCACTTTGACATGCTTTCAAACTGCTAGGTTGGCAGGAGCTGGGACCGAGCAATGGGAGCTCACCCCATCACGGGGATTCGAACTGCCACCCTTCTGATCAGCAAGTCCTAGGCTCTGTGGTTTAACCCACAGCGCCACCCGCGTCCCAATATACAGTGGTATCTCGGGTTAAATACTTAATTCCTTCTGGAGGTCTGTTCTTAACCTGAAACTGTTCTTAACCTGAAGTACCACTTTAGCTAATGGGGCCTCCTGCTGCCGCCGCGCCACCGGAGCATGATTTCTGTTCTCATCCTGAAGCAAAGTTCTTAACCCGAGGTAATATTTCTGGGTTAGTGGAGTCTCTAACCTGAAGCGTATGTAACCCGAGCTACCACCGTAGAAGGAATAAATTCAGGATTGCTGTGGGAAACAATGAAGGCAGTGTTTAGACGCATATGTATTAAAAAAAAAAATTAAGACCGCACACAACAAGAAGCTGCAAATTAAGCAAAAAGAACTAGAAACAATAGAAATAGATAAAATGATGAATATAAATAGAGGAAACAATGGAGCAATTACTATATTTAAAACAAAAATATTCTTAATATGGGCATGAGGGATCCAAACTATTAGCTGCCAGGTTGCAAAAAAAAGAGAAACAAAGCAACATTTACAGGTATAAAAATGAAGACAAGAGAAAGACTTTCTAGCAGAAAATTAATATGTGGTGGGAAGTCTCAGAGGCATGCTCAGAGTTCAAGGATAAATTCCATCCAGGGAAAAACACTGGGTTGTGAAGCAAGGGAGTGACCATGGGGAGGGTTCTGAGAGCCAGATAGAGAGGGAACAGGAGGAGGATTGAGCTGTAAGATTCCCCTCCTCTGTCCTAAGGGGTGGAATATCTCACCCAGGCAGCTGGAGATTCAACTTCCTGCCAGCAGTGGTGACTGATGAAAAGTTATTGCATGGAGTGGGGAGGAAAGGGAAACAGTTGATTCCTCAATCCTAAAATTATTACTGCTTTTGCTCATGAATATAACCTTCCAAAATATGATCCAACAAAGTCTTATCATGTGGCATGTTATGGCTGCCTTTGTTCTAAAAACAGATAGAATGTAGGAGGAATATTAGCTTGGTTAATTGTTCTAAAAACATCTGCCTTTATTCAGCAAAGGGAAAAATGTGTGTGGGTTAATGTGCGCTTACATCATTTACATTTTACATAAATTCACAAAGATTAATAAAGTTAAGTGGAAAACAAAGGGGAAGGAAAACGAACTTAAGAGCATTTCACTGAAGTATATGGCAGTGAAAAGGGTGTAATACTAGGAATTGATGGAGTTTAGCCAAACCAATAGGTTTTGCACCCAGTATTATCAGAGCATTAGCTCTGCTCTTTACCTATTAAATATTTAACCCAACTATCTTATAACACCTTATTTAGATTTTGTCTCTTATTAAAGATTTGTCAGCTTTTGGGGTTTCATTTGTGTTTGTAGTTTTTAATTCAATAATTCTTTACCGAAATACATACTCTTATATAAGTTTTTCTCTTGTAAGGTTTAAGAATGTGATGTTTGAAATTATACCTGGTGAAGAGGTAGGTGACTTTGATATCAAAGCTAAATTCTTAGGTGTGGATATGGAAAAGTCATTTTCAAGTAAAATACCTTGTAGGAAATAAATCTTTGTACAGATTGGATTTTGAGATGAGAGTAGAAAAATAGACAGGAATTCAAAGAACCTACCTTGCAACTTTTGTTTGTTGCTTTAGTATTGAGACAAAACTGAAACAGTCCAACTGATGCTCTTGAACAAACAAAATGCAAAAGAAGTCTGCATCATTATCAAACACAAACTCATGGAGTTTCTTCCATCATTGCATCATTTACTTTACTAGACAGAGGCCTGTAAAAAACATGTCAAGTCTCCAATGAAAAAAATGCTTGTACGCTATGCATTCCTTAATTAATTACTTAGCTGTTTGTTCTTGCTGTACAAAGATGCATGGTTTTGAGGCTCTTTTTTTCTCTAGAGGGCTGGTACTATTTTCTGTGCTGTGGATGACAAATGAATTAGGCTTGAGAAGAGGGCAGCTAGATGCTTTGTCTACATATATGTTTTACTTTTTGGTATTTGATCATATGCAATACCATAGATCTTCCTAACAAGAGGAGAGATCATTCAAGTTCCACTGTGAAATCTAGGAAATAAGTGTGCATCTGTCGGGTTGTTACTGGCATTTATATTTCAAGAACGGATATACTTTCAGTTGGGGAAAGTGTACTGGGGTAAGTACAGTAATCCCACAACTTACACATATTTAACTTATGTGCATTCAGCTTTATATGTGTAGCCAATAATAATAATAATTTGAAAGGGTTCTGTAAAAAGGGTGTTGGCAATCCCTCCCACCATTGAGCCCAATGGGTTTTGATCATGCACGATTTTTGCTTTAGGCATGATCCCCACGTAAGTTGCAGGCTTCCTGTACGTTTTTTCTGTGTTTCTGTGAATATGGGGTGAATATAACTTATTTATTTCAGATCAGTACTAAACAAGGGTACAAATGGATCTGATGTGATCGTTAAAGAATGATACAGTAAGGTTTTGGCCTTCATGACTTAGGACCAGGGTAGCTTGTCTCTATATAGGCACATTAAAATGTTGAGAGACTCCTGTAGTACCATATTGGCCTGAATATAAACCTCACTTTTTTCCAAATTCCAACTGTGAAAAGTTAAAGTGCAGCTTAAATTCGCAACCTTACAAAAATTGGCTTTTACTATATCGCTGCTGAAGGTGTAGCTTATATTCAGATGCAGCTTATATTCGGGCCAATACGGTACCTCTGTCTTCTGAGATGCTACTAATGGCCACAGAGGACATTTTCAGTGGTGGCACTCCAGTTATGGAATATTCTACCCAGAGATGCTCTTTTGGCACATATCTTATTGTTTTTAAGGCAAAATAACTTTTTTATTTTGCAGAGCTGCTTTGATAAAACGTTGAACCATTTTCCAGAGGAGTAGCCCTGATTATCTTTTGCAGCAAAAACAAGCCTTGTGTGACACCTTCAAGGACCAATACTGTGCATAAATTATGACAGTGGTTCCCAATTAGCTAAGGACTGTGGACCCCCTGTTTTTTCAAGCCATGGTCCCCCTACTTTTGAAAATGTTGATATTTTTGTCATGTGAATGGTGCCACAGAACACAGACCCCCCTGGGAACTACTGAATTATGGCAAAAGCTTTTGAGGACTTCCGTGCACTTTCTTAAATGCATGAAATGTAATTCTGAGTTATAGGTGCATATTATACCTGTAGTGGGGAGGAATTGTAAAAAATGGGCTCAGTAGAAAAGTTGTTGCTGTCGTTGTTTAGTCATTTAGTTGTGTCCGATTCTTCGTGACCCCACGGACCAGAGCACACCAGGCACTCCTGTCTTCCACTGCCTCCCGCAGTTTTGTCAAACTCATGCTGGTAGCTTCAAGAACACTGTCCAACCATCTCGTCCTCTGTCGTCCCCTTATTCTTGTGCCCTCCATCTTTCCCAGCATCAGGGTCCTTTCCAGGGAGTCTTCTCTTCTCATGAGGTGGCCAAAGTATTGGAGCCTAAGCTTCAGGATCTGTCCTTCCAGTGAGCACTCAGGTCTGATTTCCTTAAGAATGGATGCGTTTGATCTTCTTGCAGTCCATGGGACTCTCAAGAGTCTCCTCCAGCACCATAATTCAAAATCATCAATTCTTCGGCGATCAGCCTTCTTTATGGTCCAGCTCTCACTTCCATACATCACTAGTGGGAAAACCATGGCTTAAACTATACGGACCTTTGTTGGCAAGGTGATGTCTCTGCTTTTGACACAACTATGTATTCTAATGATAATTCACAAAACACTCTTGGTGAGACACAAATATTAGCTCTGGGTTAGTATTGGCTTCTATTATTTTTGTGGCTTTTTAGCTTATTGTGGCTTTTGCATTTTAATTATCTCCTTAAAAACCACCAGAAGTGAAGGCGGTGAACTGGCGCTCGACTCCGGAGGGCGGATTCCCTTCAGAGCTTCCCGCCCACTCCTCCGCTTTTGGGGCGGCGACTCTCCCCTCAGGCCGCCTCCGCCACACTTAGCGCGCTTCCTCGCCTGTCCGCCTGCGGTGCCTGCGGTCCCTCGCAGCAGCCCGGGGAGACTTCGGAGGCGGCGGCGGCGGCGGGAGCTGACCCTTTGCGCCCGCGAGCTCGGTGCTTTTGCCCCGTGAGGCGGCCATGGGGCAGCCGCCGGTCTCGCTGTTGCTGCTGGGCTGCAGCGCCGTGCTGGTGTGTCCCCTGCTCTGCCTTCCCTCGTCGGGAAATGGTAGGTGGCGGCGACGGGGCTCCCTCCCGCCAGAGGGGAGCCAAGTTTTGGGTGGTCGCTCGCTGGGAGGAGGAAGGCGGGGAGGCAGCTCAGCCATGTTTCGGAGGACGCCATCCCGGGGCTGCTGAGGGGGCGAGAGGGACGCTTCCAGGAAGTCGCGTCCGATTGAATTACAAGTAATCCATACTCGAGTTCCATTGGTGTGAATGGCACACAGCCAATGAAAAGGGTTTCGGGTTGGGGTAAACACTCGGGAAGGGGATGCTGGACTAGGTGGGCCATTGGCCTGATCCTGCCGGGCTCTTCTTAGGGGTCCTTTTCCCGGGGAGCCAAAGGCAGCCCCTCGCGGAGGCGCGCGTGCAACATGTAAAAGTAAATCCTTCTGACAGAACAAAGCTGGCTGCAGGAATGCCTTTGATACTTCGATTCGCCTTATTCTTTCCTGGCTCGTGTTACAGGATGCCTGGGTTGTTGACGCCACTGCCGCCAAGTTGCCGGAGATGCGACCCTTTTGATGTGGGTGGGGAGGGGGCTCTTCCTCAAAAGCAGGGGGTGGGATCTTTACCGTCGCCTTTTCTCTCTTTCTTCCTCTCTCTCCTCGTCCTATTTATGGTGTTTATGCAGCGCAATCCTGTGGATGCCGTTGAGTTCAATAGGACTTCTTTTGAACACTTGACTGAGTAATAAATGGGGATATGCAACTCTCACAGAACATAAAGTTTTGTTGGTTGTTGGGGAGCACCTCCATAGTTGCGTGGCTACAAAGGAAGGCTTTTAAGTTTTTAGGGTTTCTCTTAGATTGCTTAAATATCGTTAATGTCAGTGGGAGATGAGCAACCAGTTTTTAGTATATCAGTCCATTGCACAGTAAAAAAATAATATGAAACGACCCAGACCCTGCACAGTCCTTTCTCCGCATGCTTCCTCCATGAGAGGTCTGGTGGGTGGAAACAGGAGAAGTGGCCTTTTCTGCAGTGGCCCCTGTTTGTGGAATGCTCTCCCCAAGGAGGTTGGCCTGCGCCTTCAATACATATCTTTAGGCCCAAAGCAAAAAGCATTTGTCTTCTCCCAAGCATTTGGCTAATTAAACAATCTATGGCCTTTTAAACTGCAGGGGGAATTATTATTATTTTTTGTTACTATGCTATGTATTTTTGTGTTTTTATATTGTAAACCACCCTGGGATGTCATATATGAAGGGCGGTATGGAAATTTAATGAATAAAATAAATAAAAAGATATGGAATGTGAAAGTTACAGAACCTGAGAGTCATTGTTTGCTTTCTTTCTATGAGTAACTTCTTTCTCAATTGTTATGGCTTATAAACCATGCGTGATGTATTTTAATCAGTAAAATAGATAATTCTTGGCTTAGGAAGTGGTTTTTGATATTTCTGCACATAAGCAAATGGTTGCCTTAACAGATCAAATGTTTGCCATTTGTCTTATGTTTTGACAATTTGAAAAAGTTGTAAGTTCATGGGGGAGTTTTTCTGCCTGGATTTATTGCAAAGGAACTTTGTGATCCATTCTCTTTCTTTGTTCTCATAAAGTACAGCAGTGTAGGGAAGAGGGAATCTCGCTGGTTGTTTATTTTCCTCCATTGTTGCTGTATTTTTTACATTGTTGACAGATAGACAGTATGTTGACCTAAAACGCTGAGTGAGTCATTTGCTTATCACCATGAACAGAACAGGGAAAATGTGGATCAAATTGAACATTACCATCAATGTTTTATTATCTATCTAGATGGTTGTTATTTTTTACTTCAAGGTTAGTTTTTTGTTAAACTTATGAGAAAGACAAACTTCGTGTGTTAAATTTAAAGTTGCCCCTTTTGGATATCAACTGTGGTTAGTACAAGAATAAAAAGAGTACAGTGGTACCTTGGTTTAAAAACAGCTTAGTTGATGAACCACTTGGATTAAGAAAGCTGCAAATCCAGAAGTATGTGTTTCGGTTTGTGAACTTTTCCTTGGAATAAGAACATGTTTCGCTTCCTGTTGAGTGTGTTCCATTTGTAAATTGAGTCCCCTGCTGCTATGGGAAAGCATGCCTTGGTTTAAGAATGCTTTGGTTTAAGAACAGACTTCCAGAATGGATTAAGTTTGTAAACTGAGGTATCACTGTAACTTCCTATTATTTCCCTACCACTTGGTTGTCAATCTGCTTGTGCTTCCCATGACAAAAAAATACATGTTGGGTGAATACTTTAAAACTAGAAGTGCCAGTCTGTGGTTCTTGTTAACAAGGCATTAGTAAGTTTGGGTGTATGCGCAGAAGGACACAGAGTTAAATTAACAGAAGGACTTGATGGGTATATAATTGTAATTCAGTAATGATCAGCTGCCTGAAAATAGACTTTGCAGCTTGAGGATTACGATTCCAACCACTGGGCAACACAACACTATTTGACTTATACCGGCTCTCTTACCTCGTGCCTTGGTCGTCTGCTGGTGAGTGGGACCCACCACCAGGTAAGGGCCTAAATCAAGTTGTGTTGAAGAAGCAACACTACCACCATACAAATGCAGTATAGGGGAGATTAAGAAACTGGTGGCTAAATGCAGGTTTGAGTTAAAGGTGGATCCCAGGTCTGAAAATTTGAAGACTACTGATCTAGTGTGTTTTCCAAGTTAACTCTGGCTTTGATTTCACATTTGACTTAATTTCAGTTGCCCAGTTTGAATACTGTGTTCATGCATTGGACTGGATCATGTTTGGCATAATCATGTCTAGAGCGGACCAATTGAAATCAGTGGGACTTAATATGTGGACCGATTTGTGTACGTGTGTGTGTGTGTGTGTTTCTGTTATATATATTCACAAACAATATATATCTCTTTTTTTGATTTTTCAGTAAGTAATAACATTAAATAATAAATTGCTCCCACACAAATGCAACAGTAATTTTAAAAGCAGTACAAAAGGGGTAGGAAATGTTACAGATGTGTCTTTGAAACACAAACAGCAACTGAGAGAGGCATTTTGTTACCAAGGTGTTGTGTTTTTGGTGTGTGTGTGTGTGTGTGTGTGTGTGCGAGAGAGAGAGAGAGAGAGAGAGAGAGAGAGAGAGAGAGAGAGAGACTGGATGGCACTTCCAACCAAGTAGGTGAAAATTAACCTTGGGTTAAGAACTTAATTCGTTCTGGAGGTCTGTTCTTAACCTGAAACTGTTCTTAACCTGAGATACCACTTTAGCTAATGGGGCCTCGCGCTGCCGCCGAACAATTTCTGTTCTCATCCTGAAGCAAAGTTCTTAACCCGAGGTTAAGAGGGTTAGTGGAGTCTGTAACCTGAAGCGTCTGTAACCCAAGGTACCACTGTACTTAATTTGTTTGATAGAAGATGTCCCTTAGTGACTGGTTGTGGTGGATGACTCAGTCTTTCTTCTCTTATACCTCAACCACAAAAGCTTTGTGCTATAAGCACCACAACTCCGTTCACCTGACCAGCATCTGCAGACTTTGACATTTTATGAAAGATGCTTCTGCACCAAATGCAGTCATGGCCTTGGGTCTATCTTCTAACAGCTGTATTTTTGTTAAAGCTGTTGGAACTGTCTACTCATGAGAAGTATTCAGTGACTGTTAAAGGTAAAGGTACCCCTGCCCGTACGGGCCAGTCGTGTCCGACTCTAGGGTTGTGCGCCCATCTCACTTAAGAGGCCGGGGGCCAGCGCTGTCCGGAGACACTTCCGGGTCACGTGGCCAGCGTGACGAAGCTGCTCTGGTGAGCCAGCACCAGCGCAGCACACGGAAACGCCGTTTACCTTCCCGCTATAAAGCGGTCCCTATTTATCTACTTGCACTTAAGGGTGCTTTCGAACTGCTAGGTGGGCAGGAGCTGGGACCGAAAGACGGGAGCTCACCCCGCTGCGGGGATTCAAACCGCCGACCATGCGATCGGCAAGCCCTAGGCACTGAGGTTTTACCCACAGCGCCACCCGCGTCCCACAGCACCACCCGCGTCCCTCAGTGACTGTTAGTGTTCTTTAAAGATATCTTTCTTGAGAGATACATCTGGAAGGTTTAATACTGGGAGTAATTGAAAGTAAATGCATTTTAAGTTACAAAATCTGCTTAAGGGATGTGTCAATTTCTAATCTTCATTTGGCTGTCCATACTAGGCAGAGACTGTTGTTTATGTTGAGCACAAATAATTAATCATGGTTTTGGAGTAACCTAGTCTGGACTGGGATTGTGTGTCGAATTTCGGCATAAAGTGAATGGGTGTGTCAAAATAAGTCACAATAGTGCTTTATTTAAAATCAATTTAAGAGATATCTGTGTTGAGGATTAAACTTCAGTAGCAACATTTTTTTAAAGAACTAGATCATGAAAGGTCAGTGTGACATCATGCTTGTTGCACAAACAATAGATATGTGCCACTCTCTATTACGTATCTTTATCCTAACAACACTCACTTTAGTAAGCCTCCTAAAATCAGTATGTTTAGGAGCATTTGGAACAACTAATGTTTTAGGATATGAAAGCCCTATATGGAGGGAAAAAACCCTGAAGTTGATGTTTCCAGCTCTTCTGTTCTTCCTTATTTGTGAATAATGCTGAATGACCAAAGTACAGTCTACAGAATACTGAGTTTGTTTAGCAGTGCAAAAACACTTTGAGGCTGATGAGAAGTCACATGATCTTTGATCCATTCTTTTGTACTGTGAATGCCATTCCAGTAGTCTAAATGATCTTTCCTGTCATGCCTTTTCAGTAGCTAGACAGGCACTGGGTTAGTAGACAGCCTAAAGTATACAACCCATCGGGAACAAACTTCATCATTAGTTACTTTCCATGTGCTATGGACATTTTATAGTTTTTCACAAATGACATCTTGGATCATCTATCACAGTAGTTCTTTTCTGAAGTCATAAATGATTGGATCCATTTTAGTGATGGAGCTGTGGTCACAGTGGAGGAAAGGAGTGAGGTGATGTCTCCTTCCCCCTGTAGCTCCAGGTCCCCTGAAAACTGCTCTAGGGGGCCCCCTCGGACAGTGTGCAGGTGAGGGCTGTGTCCTGCAAAGGCTGTGCGGTTGGGGTCAGAATATATCTGAAATGATTTTTAAAGGACTAATTTCCTGTATAATATACACTTTGTTGTTATTCTTGTTATTACTAATTATTTCTTTATGCATGAAACTGGACACCCAAAACTTTAAAAGAGTTGTTTTGTCTAAGATATAGGTTGGAATTGAAAGATAACTCATTGTGGGTGACACAATTAGTACCAGGTTTTCTCCAACCTATCTGAAGAAAACCTATAGGCTCAAAGTGCTGTATACTGGAACAACGGTGGCCTGTTTTAATGGGGATATAGAAACAAAATCATTCTGAGTTCTCTTATCATAGCATTCCAATTCTTTGATGTGATATTGAGCAAGCCATTCAGAATATAGCCCAATACAACATGGGCTATCAGGCAGATATTAACACAGAATGAACATTCCATGTACTGTAATAAGAATTGTGTCTTATCTAAAGGAGGTTTGAAAATCCAATAGGCTATGTTTAGCTTACTGAGGCAAGGGAAAGTCCATGATTTCCAGCAAAGTTTCACTTGATAATAAAGATAAATACTTTTGGAATTTGAATGTTTCTTGCATTGAAACATATATTTAAATAGTCTGGAAAAGTATCTGATGAATATTCAGTGAATAAGAGGGTTTGTAACTGCTGTTGTTAAAATTTCAGAGGTGATGAATAGGAATCCCTGTTTTATATGTTAATGTCATCTTAATAGGTGCAGACAAGATCTATTGTAAATAACAGAATGTAAATTACTTAAAAGCAGCTATCATAAACACTGGGGGCGGGGAAATGAAAAGGTAGTATAAAGGAAATAACATGCTAATTGTACAAGATATTTGAAAAATGGAAAAGGCAGTGAATATGCCTTTTTCTAGTCCACAAAAGAATTTTACTTCAGAAAAGTATTTTCTGCTAAATGTGTGAGTTACCCAATATGTTTAATAACCATAAACTTTATTTTCTAGAATCTTTCGCTCAGATTGGACCAAAAACCTTTCCCTATTCAACAGAAGAAGAATATGAAAAAATCCCATTGGGAGACGATGACATTGAAAACGATTCAGAATTTGGATCGGGTTCTATCAATGAAAGTATTTCCCCTCGAGAAACACGAATGCTGCCACCTAAACCGATCTCTGGAGATGTCAAGGAGTACCTGACTAGTGGATGGCTGACCATTTTTGTTCCATCAGTTTATACCCTAGTTGTTGTGCTGAGTCTTCCTCTGAACATCATGGCAATTCTTGTGTTCCTGATAAAAATGAAGGTGAAAAAGCCAGCTGCAGTGTACATGCTCAGTCTGGCTTCTGCTGATGTTCTCTTTGTGAGTGTTCTTCCTTTTAAGATTGTCTACCATTTTTCTGGGAACAATTGGGCATTTGGACCTGAAATGTGTCGTTTTGTCACTGCTACCTTCTACTGCAACATGTACTGTTCTATCCTGCTGATGATGGTGATAAGCATGGACCGTTTCTTAGCAGTGGTGTACCCAATGCAGTCCCTGTCATGGCGCACACGAAGACGTGCCTTTGTGGTCTGTCTTGCCATCTGGCTTGTAGCAATAGCTGGAGTGATACCTCTGCTAATCAATGAGCAAACCCAAAGAATCCCTCAGTTAAACATTACAACGTGTCATGATGTGTTGAACAAAGATGATCTTAAAGGCTATTACCTTATTTTTTTCACCATTTTCTCTTCTCTTTTCTTTTTTGTGCCATTAATTGTTTCTGCTGTTTGCTATGTGTGTATCATCCGGAGTCTTAGCTCTTCAAATGTCGCTGCGAAGCAGAGCAAGAAAACACGGGCGTTATTATTGTCTGTAGCTGTTTTCTCCATTTTTATTATGTGCTTTGGTCCAACCAATGTCCTTTTGTTAATTCACTACATCAGTTTTTCTTACAAAAACTACTTGGGGAATATCTACTTTGCCTATCTCATCTGTGTCTGTACTAGCAGTATAAGTTGCTGCATTGATCCTTTGATCTATTATTACACCTCTTCTGAATGCCAGCGACACCTTATCAATCTTTTTTGCTGTAAAAAGACCTCTGAATCTTGCAGTACCAGTACCAGTGGCCAGTTAATGACTAGGACCAGTAGAAGGGGTACTTGCACCAGTACACTTGGTAACAGTGTCTACAGGAAGCTATTAACATAGGATTGCAATCAGCTAAGTTTTGTTCAAAGTAGACTTACTGAAATTAATGGACCCAAATAGTTAGTACGTCCACGAATTTCAGTGAGTCTGTTCTTACTATGAGAAACATTTGCTACAACTCGTATTGTTTTGTGAACAAAAGTACATTTTGTGCACTTATTATTTATATAGCTATATTTTGTTGTTGTTTAGTCGTTTAGTCGTGTCCGACTCTTCGTGACCCCATGGACCAGAGCACGCCAGGCACCTCTGTCCTCCACTACCTCCCGCAGTTTGGTCAAACTCATGCTGGTAACCTCGAAAACACTATCCAACCATCTCGTCCTCTGTCGCCCCCTTCTCCTTGTGCCCTCCATCTTTCCCAGCATCAGTGTCTTCTCCAGGGAGTCTTCTCTTCTCATGAGGTGGCCAAAGTACTGGAGCCTCAGCTTCACGATCTGTCCTTCCAGTGAGCACTCAGGTCTGATTTCCTTAAGAATGGATGCATTTGATCTTCTTGCAGTCCATGGGACTCTCAAGAGTCTTCTCCAGCACCATAATTCAAAAGCATCAATTCTTCGGTGATCAGCCTTCTTTATGGTCCAGCTCTCACTTCCATACATCACTACTGGGAAGACCATGGCTTTAACTATACGGACCTTTGTTGGCAAGGTGACATCTCTACTTCTCAAGATGCTGTCTAGGCCTGTCATTGCCCTTCTCCCAAGAAGCAGGCGTCTTTTAATTTCGTGGGCTGCTGCAAGATGGCTGTCTAGAGCCCTAATCATTGCCTCTGCTCCAAGAAAGGCAGCGGTTTTCCTTCTTCTCGTGGCGAGAACAGGGGAATGCTGCCACACCTCCTCTGCTGTCACCATCTGCAGTGATCATGGAGCCCAAGAAAGTAAAATCTCTCACTGCCTCCATTTCTTCCCCTTCTATTTGCCAGGAGGTGATGGGACCAGTGGCCATGATCTTCGTTTTTTTGATATTGAGCTTCAGACCATATTTTGCACTCTCCTCTTTCACCCTCATTAAAAGGTTCTTTAATTCCTCCTCACTTTCTGCCATCAAGGTTGTGTCATCTGCATATCTGAGGTTGTTGATATTTCTTCCGGCAATCTTAATTCCAGCTTGGGATTCATCCAGCCCAGCCTTTCGCATGATGTATTCTGCATATAAATTAAATAAGCAGGGAGACAAAATACAGCCTATATATAGCTATATATTTAAGCTATTATACTGAAGAATAGCCATATCACATTTTTCACATGATTAACATGTTTGTTAACAGATAACCTGTCATTAAAAAGGATATAGGGTATGGGGAGGGAAGATAAAGACTCAAGGAGGTGTTGAAACAGTGTTTTCCTGTGAAAACTTTACCCAGATATGTACTGCATCCCTATTTGTGTGTGTGTGTGTGTGTGTGTGTGTGAGAGAGAGAGAGAGAGAGAGAAAGAGAGAGAGAGAGAGAGAGAGAGAGAGAGAGAGAGAGAGAAGTATTAATCTGATTCTACTGACAATGTTATAAATAGGTCACTTATGGCTGAAAACCTCCAACAACTAAAATCTACAAACTGTTAAACAGACTTCAAATTTTTATGCATTGTTTGCCACATTACAATAGCCCTCTGAACGAAATCACTGTTTTCATTTACAAATTGGCTTTGGATGCTAAGAGACACTGATTTCATTCAAGGCTGCCTAATGACCTTATGACTAAAGAGATATTTGAGTTTATTTATCCCTTTTCTTATTGGTACTCTAATTTCAAGTATTATTTGTATTACAACATTTGATGATTCCTGAAATTAAATGAATCAGTGGTCTTTTTTTTAACACTGCTTTTCTAGTTTGTAGTATATGATTGAGCCTTCTGAAATGCATTCTGCATATTTCATGATTTTGCTCTACATATTTTGGCTGCCTTAGAAGCTAAAAACTGAAAGATTTCCTTAAAAGACAAATGAGTCAATATTTGCAATTTGGTGTTGTCACACAAAGTTCAAGTCACGATAAGCCTTTTTATTGTTCTGTTGAATATAAACAATGGACTTTTGACTCATGATTGAGCCTGGATATTGATTTTACAGAACAGATTGGCTTGCATCCTGACCTTTTGCTTCTTTACAAAGAGAAACGGTACTTTATAAAATGGCTGTTTCCATGAGCAGAGTTATCCTTCCATGAATAGAAGCAAAAAGTTATAACTAGCCAGAACTGGTTGCTAGTTGGTGTTACTGTGTACCCATCACAACTATGCACTGAATAGCCTACTTACATTCTATTAATGTGGTTTAACACGGACTAGATCACACTGTCAACCAAGTAGTTTGGAGTTGTCCAAATATTTGAAGAATCAGAGAAAAGGTATGCTGGCATATTTATTTCAAACTGGTTCTGCTTTAAGTCTTATGCTGAACATGTGTTTCTACTTTTAAAATAGAGTGAAACTCCAATGTGTCCTGTTCAGAATGTATTTTCTACAGGTATTTGCTTTTAGTGGGCACCTCTCCACAGATGTAGCTTAGTTTTTCCCTAAAATGTGTCGTACCTTGATCATGTGTGTGAAATGCATTTAAAAAACAGACTGAGGCACTGCAACATTATAAAAATCTAATTAACTCGCACTCAGTAATGGAAAATTACAAGTGAGCCCTGGGACATAAAAATAAATTAAATATTACTTGTAAATTACTTTTACTTTTATTAGCAGTTGAATTTAGGTTTTTAGCTGATGCATTTCTTTAGCACAGAAACTAAGTTTCTACTCTAGAATCCCATAGGGTTTCTAATGTAACAAAAAAGTAAAGTGTTGCATCTAGTGAGTGCAAAAGCATTTGATCCAACAGAGGCATCCATTAATGCAAGAGGCAAGGGGACATTTTTTGCCCATTCTCCCTCCCTTCTGTTTTCATAATTATGAAAAACATACTCTGGATGCTCTCCCAAACCTTCAGAACAGATTTTTGGATTGTGCCGGAGGCTGTGAAAATCAGCAAAATTTACATCCCTTCCTCTTCCGTCAACAGTTGCCTCTGCTGGAGCAACATCTAAACATTCTAAACATACATTTTGTTTAAGTGTAGATAATATAATTACCAAATGGGAGAAGTAAAACTACTACTTATCTACTCAAAAGTAAGTCCTATTGATTTCAATGGTCGTTGCTCTTAAACAAGTAGATATAGGCTTGTATCCTGAAACTCAGAATCTAAAGCAGCATTTTAAAACTGAGAAGAAGTGTCTGCTAATCTGTCAGCAGGTATTTTCAGCATTCTAACAATTTTATTTGGGATGTATTGCATTACTATATTGTTTTCCATTTTTGTGTGTGAAAAGATATAAAAGGGTATTTAGCTGGGTTTGATATAGGAGGAAATACCTGTTATAGGAAGAATATTAATGGTTGTGACCAACTAGGTTATACTCCGAGTGTACACATTGAAAATAGTGAACCGAAGTTCTTCATGTCCATTATTTTCAATGGGTCTACTCTGAGCTGGACTGACATTGGATATGACCCAGTATTGACTTCTATTTTCTTCCTGGGTCAAATCCCTATCAAAATACATTTAATGTAAAGTAATTTAACCATATATTTTTAATTTTATTGATGTACAAACATAAGTAAAATGTGTAAATATATCATAATTTTTGGAAGTTATATTATTATATATTCATATTAACCAAATAAATTATGGTATTTGCTTTCTTAAAACTATAATGTTGATAGACAGATGTTTATTATTATGTTTGAAAATTGAGTTAACCTGCAGCAATAATAAACTTTTTATCTGCTTCATTTGTTGTCTGTTCATACCTATGCCATGATACAAGTTTGTCATACATGATATCCAGTCTGATATATTTTCACTTAAAAATTGCTGCTCTGAAACATGTAAACCTTGAATATTCCAAAAGCTTCAGTCAGGTTGCTTAAAACTTATCTTCTATCCGTATCCCACAGCAACAAAGATAATTTTTTTAAATGTTAGAAACAAGTAACTGTGGCAGCAGTGGCGTAGCGTGGGGGGTGCCAGGGGTGCCGGCCGCACCGGGCGCAACATCTGGGGGGGGCGCGCTCGCTGCCTCCGGAGTCGCGAAGAGCCTCGGGCGCAGGCTGTAGCGGAGCCGCATGTCTCGCGGAACCGACGAGCTGTGCGCGAGTCCGGGCTGAAGGCGCCCGGCAGGCAGCGGCTCTCAGCGCTCGCCGCGGAGGACGCGCCAGGCAGCCCCTCCTCACAGCCCCGCCTCTGCCGCTGCTGCTGCAGCTGCTGGGCCGTTGCATTTTCCTCGCCTCTCTGCCCCCCTCCTCCTCCGGGCAAGCGGCGTCGTTTGGGCGGCAGCGCCAGCGGCAACTCGCAGGTTAGGGGTTGGGGGGGCGCAAATTACTTGCCTTGCCCCGGGTTAGGGGGCGCAAATTACTTGCGTTGCCCCGGGTGCTGACAACTCACGCTACGCCGCTGTGTGGCAGTTTATAGGAATCAGGCATTTTGGTCTTGCATTATTGTTCAGTGACAATAAGACTAAACTACAATGAAGGGGCAATCTATGGTCTTTGTGGTGTCTATGGTACAGGAACTGAAAAAGTAGTTTGGCAGCATGTCAGGCCAGTCAAGGTTCTTCAGGCCCCCAGGCAAAAGCTGCACTGGCCTAAGGCATGGCATAGTTCATTCCTTTAAATTGGAGGTGAGTTGCCTTGGCCTGCCCTAGCTGATACAGTTTAGGAAATAGTGGTAACACCACCATGAATCTCTCTCTGCTGTAGGATCGCTCTGCTCCAAAATGCTGAATCCATAGACAACAGAAAGGTTATCCAATACTGCTACTATATGTGTGCTTTTTAAAAATATCACTTCCATTGCACACCTACCTCATAGGCTAGAGCATCTGATTTGTATGCAGAGGCTCCCAGGTGGTCCAGTCCCTGGCATCTCCAGGTAGGGCTGGAAATCTCCCCTGACTGAAACCCAGAAGAGCCATTCAGTTTAGGATCACAAACCAAGGCAGTTTCACATAGCTAGCGAGTGATAAGCCAAGCTGTTAACATGATGAACGGTGCTGCACTGCTGTGGGGAAGAAGCCCCTCTTGAGATGACTATGCTGTAAGATCTGGGCTCCTTCCATCTGAATTCAGGTGTAAATATGCAAATAGGCCATATTTCTTAAAGGTATGACAGCCTCTGCCACATCTTGATTTGCAAAGGAACCCAGACCGTGAGTGAGCACCTGGGTCTCTCCAGAATCTTTCTACAGCTAATCAGAGA